ACTGCAAATAGTACTGACATCTGCCTGGTCCTCCTTCCTCCATTCTGTGGCATCCATCCGTCTCCTTCCTATCACTAAGAGTGTGTGCTTTAGGTGCCCATATGAGTCCATGTTCTCTTATGACTGGCACATTTCACTTGGTTATAATGTCTCTAAACATCATCCATTGTGAAATATTATCATTTTCTGGGTTTAAAGGCTCTTGTTATAGCCAGTGTATATAAATGGAAACTGCACTTTTGTTTCCTGGCCATCCAGATCCAAATAATCACACAAAACTACATTAATTACAGCATTGTTTGGCCAATGGCTCAGGCGAATTCCTCACTAGCTCTTACATCTTAAACTAATCCATTTCTGTTATTTTATATTTTACCATGAGGCTTGTGGTTTGTTAACTCACTTCTTGCTTCTTGGGCGGAGCCTACCTGACTCTGCCTTCTTTCTCCCTGCATTCACTTTAGTTTGCCCTGCCATAGGCCAAAGCAGCTTCTTTATTAACCAGTGGTAATAAAGCATATTCATAGCATACAGAGGGGAATCCCACATCAAATGTATTTATTATATTTTATTTATTTGTCTTCTACCATACATATTATATATTAGTAAGTTTTATGTGTGTTTGTCTTTGTGTGGTATATGCATGCACATGTGGGCCCATGTGCAGAGGCCAGAGACATTAGGTGTCCTGTTCTGTTGTTCTTTTTCTTATTCTCTTGTGATGTAGCTGCAGCTGACTCTAGTGACCAGCAAGTTCTAGTGATCCTCCTGTCTCTGTCACCCATAGCATTAGAGTTATAGCAATCTGGGGCCATACCTGGCTTTTTATATAGGTGCTTGGGATTTGAACTCAGGTCTTTCATGGTCCCCCTCCCCCCCTTTTTTTAATACATGGTATTCCATTGCATGTATGTGTCAGAGCATATGTATGGTTGTTTGAATGTTTAGATTACATTTAGATTTTCAGTAGATATTTCAAATAATTCTGAGATAAACATTTATGCTCAGTTACTTTCTGGGGCAAGTTCTAGAGTGGATTTCATAGAATGTTTATTTTTACATTTGGTACGCATTACCAAGCTTCTCTAGCAAGTACCCATTTTCACTCCTTTCTATTATAAATGAGAGTGTAATTTGCAACTAATAACCTGTACGATGATGTTTGAAGAAATTTGAATGTTTATTTTAGGAGGGCAGTTTTGATTATATGTGTATGTACAAAGTTTTGTTGGATTTGTCATAATAAAATAGTTCCAGAAACATAAAAAAATAAATAAATGAGAGTGTAATGTCTTAGGATACCCATCAATATTAGTTCTTAAAAATCTTTTTGTTCTTTGTGCAAGTGAACAGAAAAAATAACTTATTTCATTGTTGTATATCTGTGTTAGAAATCAAATATGCCTTCAAGCGATGCTTACCCACTCTTAAGAGATTTTAAAAATACTGTCAGTGGTTCTGAAAAGCAGTGTTGGCATAAATGGATAGGGTCCCAAGGTGACAGTTTTGAAAGGCACATTGGTGAGAGGCTCTCACGTCTGTATTAACGGAATGTGATCCGTCTCTCTGACCGCACACCTGACATGCTTGAAGGACTTATCTCGACAGCAGGATTGGATAGTCAGTGGAAGTGGGACAGCAGCATGTATTGAGTATCCTGCTTGGTGTAGCATTCTTGTTGCCAGAGAGGTGCGGTGCTAAGGCCCCTGTCTTTATGGAACTGCAGGCACACCTCATAGGAGCCCAGAAATGACACTCCAATCGCATGTTTCCCAGGGAAGTCCTGTGGAAGTTTCCTCTCAGAGCTGGTGTGGATCAAATCACACACATTCATCACTGCATGGAGTCATACTGTTTAACAGAGAAACTGCCTGCTGATGCTGGATTATGTTGAAGCCTTTCTAATGAAAGGGGAAGTTGGAGAGTTGGTGTGAGCCCTCAGAGCTGCTTAACTCGTTTCTCTGTTCTTCGTAAGCTGTGCTGGAGCAGATTCACTTTACTAGAAAAGTTCTGTGTGTGTTTGTTTTTAAGGGTACTTCAGTGCACTTTTCTTTGTTCTTTGCTTTTTGAATTTTGGTACCAGAACACTCAGCAAACATTTAGTTTTGCAGGGAGGGCTAGACAATATGAAGGTAAAAGGCACAACCTTTTTGCCAGCAGCTAACTGCCTGCCTCTTATGGAGGGAAAATAGCTGATTGTTCTAGGAGGCTTGCAGGTGACCAACTGCGACCATCAGCTTCTTGACGAGAAGCTCTATGCTCAGTGCTCCCTCTATGGTTATAGGAAAGGCTTCGTTTTCACAGGAATTTAAATGCTCACTTTAAATTTTGTAATTATTTCATCAATACACTGGCATGTTATAATTAAGGAGATCAGATATTTGAGAAATGTGTGACACTTATCATATGGTATTGGGGACATAGGAGGTCTGTCCTACATAACGTTTTGTTTAGACGTGAGGTACTTAGCTTTGCATTTCCAATTAGCCTCTATGAGAGAAGTAGTCCATGAACCAGATATAAAGGTAAGGGAGTAAATATTAGCGTTATTTTAATTAATACCTTGTTTAACAATGTGCTTCAACCACATTTTTTTCTAATAGTATCTTTAAGATCCACTAGATAGGGCTGGAGAGATGGCTCAGTGGTTAAGAGCATTGCCTGCTCTTCCAAAGGTCCTGAGTTCAATTCCCAGCGACCACATGGTGGCTTACAACCATCTGTAAAGAGGTCTGGCTCCCTCTTCTGGCCTTCAGGCATACAGACAGAATATTGTATACATAATAAATAAATAAATAAATATTTAAAAAAAAAAAAAAAAAAAAAAAAAAAAAAAAAAAAAAGATCCACTAGATAATGGCAGACAAATTTTTGATAAGTTTTAAAAATCAGATGTTACTAGTTCCCTTTCTAGAAGAGACAAATGACAAGAGTCTTTTTTTAAAACATCATTTGTTTTTATTGTATGCACATTGTTTTTTTATTTTATTTTTTTAAATATTTTTTTTATTTATTAAAGATTTCTGTCTCTTCCCCGCCACCGCCTCCCATTTCCCTCTCCCTCCCCCAATCAAGTCCCCCTCCCTCGTCAGCCCAAAGAGCAATCAGGGTTCCCTGCCCTGTGGGAAGTCCAAGGACCACCGGCCTCCATCCAGGTCTAGTAAGGTGAGCATCCATCCAAACTGCCTAGGCTCCCCCAAAGCCAGTACGTGCAGTAGGATCAAAAACCCATTGCCATTGTTCTTGAGTTCTCAGTAGTCCTCATTGTCTGCTATGTTCAGCGAGTCTGGTTTTATCCCAGGCTTTTTCAGACCCAGGCCAGCTGGCCTTAGTGAGTTCCCGATAGAACATCCCCATTGTCTCGGTGTGTGGATGCACCCCTCGCGGTCCTGAGTTCCTTGCTCGTGCTCTCTCTCCTTCTGCTCCTGATTTGGACCTTGAGATTTCTGTCCGGTGCTCCAATGTGGGTCTCTGTCTCTGTCTCCTTTCATCACCTGATGAAGGTTAATATTCAGGAGGATGCCTATATGTTTTTCTTCGGGTTCTCCTCACCTTTCCCCCCTCTCTTTTCTTTTTCCTTGTCTTTCTACTGGGGACCAAACCCAGAGCCTTGTATATGCTAGGCAAGTACTCTATTATATTCCCAGCCCTACAGGTATGTATTTGTGTGAGAGTTAGTGTGTGAATATATGTGTGGGTATGATTGTATGTGTGTTCAGGTACACATGCCCCTGTGTATGAGGCCATTGTGTGTTCTGCTGTATAACTCCTATTCTCTTGAAACAGTCTCTCACTGTAACTAGACTAGTGGCCAACAAGCCCCAGTGACCCTCTTGTTTCTGCTTTCTGTAGTTTGGGGGTTACAGGCCAATGCTTCTTCTATGCTCAGATTTTTATTTTTAAGATTTATTTGATTTTATGTGCATGAATGTTTCGCCTGCATATATGTATGTGCACCGTGTGTATAGTTGGTACCTGTAGTGGTCAGAGAATGTCAGATTCCCTTGCATTGTAGTTATAGATGTTTGTAAACCAACATGTGGGTGCTGGGAATCAAACCTAGGGCCTCTGAGAAAGGAACCAGTGCTCTTAATTTCTGAGCCATCCCTCCAACCCCCCACACCCATCTTTTTATGTGGACTCTAGGGATTTAAAACTAGTTCTGTCTTGTTGAGCGGTGGTGGCACACACCTTTAATCCCAGTATTTGGGAGGCAGAGGCAAGCATATTTCAAAGTTCCAAGACAGCTTATCAGAAAAACCCTATCTTGAAAAACAAAATAACAACAACAAAAACTAGTTTGGTCTCTAGGGTCTGTTTCCTAGCCACAGTATGTATTTTTCTGTGCTGAATATTTCCAGCCCACTGAGAAAGTTCTATCTAGTTCATGGGATAAACATTATTACTTGTAGCTTTAACAGGATCCAGGAAGCAGTTCTTTAATTAGGTTTTTAAAATAAGAAATTAATCTTGCGACAAGGCAATTTTGACTAATACATTTTATTTGAAAAGCACAGTATTATCTTAAAAGAAAAAAATGTTTATTGAACAAAATTACTTTGGCGGTAAACTTTTGTAAAATTCCTGTTAGCTCAAAAAACTTCTGTCTTTAAATTTACAGCCTTGAGACTGTGAACTGCTAAGTGCAGGTGAGTACTGTAGCATATCACCTGACAACATCTTGTTCCTTACCCTTGACCTCACAGCATCATGAGCAGGTGCATGAAGTAGAGGAAGTAGGAAGGAAAACGTACATTCTAGCATGCTTTCTTGCCTTGAGTAGCCTCACTAAGTGTTGCTATGATTTACTTGCAAGAGAGCCATAGGCCCTGGTGCTTATAAGAATCTCCTTTCAGCTTAGCTTTTATCCATCTAAGCTTCTGGGTACAGAGATAATGTTGGATTTCAAGGTGAACTTTTATCATATTGAGTTTGTTGAAAAATGATTCAGCCATTTTTTGCCTGTTTCTTAAATATTGCTGTGTGCATCATGTTTCTAGGTAGGTGAGTCCGTGAAACAGTATGAAGAGGAGAAAATAGCCTTTTAAAGAAACTGGCCCACAGAAAGGATGGCCTTCTTGGACAATCCAACTATCATTTTAGCTCATATTCGACAGTCACATGTGACCAGTGATGACACGGGAATGTGTGAGATGGTTCTCATTGATCATGATGTTGACCTAGAGAAGACTCATCCTCCTTCAGTGCCTGGAGACAGTGGGTCAGAAGTTCAGGGAAGCAGTGGTGAGACTCAGGGCTACGTGTACGCCCAGTCTGTCGATATTACCTCAAGCTGGGACTTTGGTATTAGAAGACGCTCAAACACAGGTAAACTGTCTTTAGTTGTCTTCTTAGCTTCAGATCAGTAGTCAGCCAAGAGATAATGGACAGGGTTGGAAGAGGTCCATTAGGGAGTCTGTGCCTAGTGAGAGAGTGGTTGAACATCTCTGTGTAAGTAGAAGACTTTGGTGTTGAGCTGTTAGGAGGAAGTAGACAGGAGAGCCTTATGTTGGTGGAAGTTGCCTTTAGAAAAGGAAGTGGCCCTGTTTTGAGACCTTAGAGCCACCCAGTCTCAAGTAAATTTCCTTGAGGGAGATTCTAGGGTGACAAAGATCTCTTAATTTGGGAGCAGGATAGCCTAGGAATACAGGCACCAAAATCAATACAAGAGCAGGCTAGCCCAGGAATGCAGGCCACTAAAGTCCCAGCTCCTGGGTGGGTTTTTATAGGTTCCGTATATGGAGTGAGGGAGGCACAAAATGCTCCTATTTTGATGCTTTCCTCTTATTTCCCTAAGTTGATCACAAACCTTTGGTCTCAGTGGTTTGTAAATACTCAAATTTGCCATATATATTTAGTTCTTAACCTTTAGAGGCTTATCATTGTCCATTGTCCAGTTGATAGTGCTTTTATAATTTTTCCAGGAGAATGCAGTGTGCCAAGGCTTTTATTGAGAAACGGGGGAGGGGGGGAGGGAAGGGAGTTAGGGAGAAAGAACACATGCATATATATAATATATATATTATATACATACATGCATACTTATGAGAAATGGCATTTTAAGGATCCTTTTTTAGGATCAGTAGTAGTAGCCTGTTAATCCCAAGGAAAGAGAGTGACAAGAGATGGACAATAATGACAAATGTTTATTTTCATGCTCCAGATGTAAAATGTTAACTGGGAGTCCGCGGCAGAGCTGGGTATGCCTCACAGTGAAAGAAACATTGAAGTTGAGTTCAGAATGCAGTGTCTGTGACATCAAAAAGAATAGTTTGCCCATAAGAAGAAAATAACTAATATCACTTCCCAGTATCAAGAGAGACTTTTATCAAAATAGGGTTTTAGTGATGGTTCGCAAATAATTTAGAACCATTGCCACTCAGTGCTCTATTTGGAACATCCTTGCAAGTTCGTGACATGGTATCTTCTGTGACAGGCTGGGTAGATTTTACCAGGAAGATGCTGTTCAATTAGAGTGTTACGGTGGTGTTACTGTGACTGCACCCTTCATTGTTACTAATGACAGTGGGTTTGGTTAGGTATAGTGATGTCAGCTTTTGCAAGCCAGGGCCAGTGGTGGCACACGCCGGCACTTGGGAGCCAGAGGCAGGTGGATCTCTGAGCTTGAGGCCATCCTGGTCTACAAAGCAAGTTCCAGGACAGCCAGGGCTACACAGAGAAACCCTGTCTTGAAAAAACAAACAAAAAAGAATGCTTTTGCCTGTATAGTTTTTAAATTTCTGGCAAGATCATTTCCAGTGTTCCTCTCCCATAATGCTAAGGAAGGAATGTATGGTTTCCCACCTTGAAAATGTTTGTAAACAAAATTTATTTTAGATATTTTTCTATTGCCAGTGTGTGTGCCTCAATAAGATGTGGAAGAGTAGCATGAAAAAACAGTGAGAGAGACCTGAGTTCTGATTTTCCCAGTTATGGCTGTGAGCAGCAGTTGCTAATGGATACCGGTTATCTTTCTGTGAAGGACCAGGCTGCTGATTTTTGAAGGTTGAATGTTGATTAGCCAGTGTAATAACAGACATGTGATTTTAGGTGACTCTTGGTGCAGACATTTCTTTAGTTAATGCTGAGGTGCTAGTACATAATTGAAACTATAGGCCATATTGGTGATCAAGGAACTTAGTTTTTAATCTTTAAAGTACATCTTAAAGTTTTTTAAAGAAGAATTGTTCTTTTTACGATTTGACTAATGTGACAAAGATACAAATCATTTATTTTACTACCTATAAACTGTTTCAGCCCACTGAAGAAAAGCTATGCTAATTTATATAGCTTTGACATTTTATAATTTTCATGATTTTTAGATAAAGGATTTTATATTTAAAACTTTAATAGTCTAGTCTGAGTTCATTTATCTTTAATTTTTGAAACGGGTAGAGTAATTCATAACAGTAATTTTATTCCTGTAATGTAATATTCACTTCAGTTCATTTGTGCATTAAAATTCCTTTAAGACCGTTATTAATGATTTATATAATGAAATGTCATATTAATCACAGAAGTTTTCACATTTTATTATTCTCTTCCATGTTAATACTATCTTTATGATCTCTATTAATGTTTTATATCCTCTAATTTCAATTATAAATCAAGAATATTTTCATGTTTTTGTTGGTATTTGCTTTTCAGGGGTGCCACCTTTAAAATTTTATGACTTTCTTCCTCCATATGCAATATAAAACATCTTTATTCATATAAAGGTAGTTAATTATATCTTTGTTTATAGTAAACTTTCATTGACAAACTTATAGTTATAATATTTCTTTTCAAGCTCAAAGATTAGAACGACTCCGCAAAGAGAGACAAAACCAGATCAAATGCAAAAATATTCAGTGGAAAGAAAGAAATTCTAAGCAATCAGGTAAATGGAAACAACTTTCATTTATGATTTGGGATTTTTATCCTTAGTTTATATCATTATTTATGGACTTCTATTTTTAATCTGTTCTTCTAAGTTCTTTGGGTGGATACCACTTGTGTTTGAGCTTGAGCCCAGTGCACTTGTGTACATTGGCCCTGTTGGTTTGGGCCTCCTTTCCCACTTGCTTACAGGGTTAATGCGGTTAGAGGGTGCTTTCTAAAATCATTACTTAGTACCATTTTCTTGGGGCCAAGAATAGTATATACTTCTTCAAATGGGTGTTTAAATTATAGGTTCATTTGTACAGTTCTATTTATTTATTGTTTGTGTGTGCACACTCATGCACATATGTCACCCTGCATGTATGGAATCAGAGGTCAGCTTGTAGGAATCAGTTTTCTCCTATTGTATAGGTTTAGGGGAGTGAACACAGGTTCTTCCTCATGGCAGCTAGAACCTTTACTAGCTGAGCTGTCTTGTCAGCCTCATTTATATAGTCCTAGATTTTACCTTGTTTCAGTGACCATAGCACCTTTTTTCCCCCTTTTTTTGGGGGCGGGGGCAGGGTCTCTCTGTAGCTTTTGGAGCCTGTCCTAGAACTTGCTCTGTATACCAGGCTGGCCTCGAACTCACAGAGATCTGCCTGCCTCTGCCTTCCAAGTGCTGGAATTAAAGGCGCGTGTCACCACCACCTGGCTTCAGAACACCTATTTTCAATGCTTCATTTTCAGCAAGAAGAAAAAAAATTTAAACTCTTGGTTATGGTGGAGATGGCTCAGTCAGGAAAGTGCAATGGCAGACCTGAAATTTCAGTACTGAGCACACAACAGCAGGAGGATCCGTTGGGCTTCTACCCAGCTAGTTTAGAGTTCCAGGTCTAGTAAGTGACCCATTCTTAGTAAAATGAGGTGAAAAATGATAGAGGAAGACACTGGACACAATTGCTAGCTTCTGCATGAGCATGCTCACACATACAGTCTTGAAAGTAAAGTAGTCTTAAAATAGTTTATAATGATTAGATCATTTTCTAAGACGTTTTCTTTATTTTTTCCTTTAAAAGAAATGTCCTCTTTGTTCTTCCAATACCTCCTTGGCAGGTGATGGATGTCTCATAAATCTTTGTTGACTATCTCCATTGCTGCCCAATAATTCTAAGGTTGGCAGTATTAATGGTTGCTACGTGACTAACAGGGTGCACTCGGCATTTCATATTCTTCACTCTATGCAAAGGTGGAGGTGTTATTACTTATGATTACTGGTGAGACAGGCCAGGGAGACTTGATTAACTTACCAAAGTCACACAGCTAGAAGGTAGAAGCATGGTCATGCCACACCTCACATCCAGCTTTGTCTTCCTTGATGAACCAGCCACACTATACTTGCTGCTTCTTGTGCAGTGCTTTCATTAGGTCCGGTTTTCTTAGTGACTTCCTCTAAATGATGCCTATGCAGAACCAGAAATTCCATTGACATGCTGAGCACAGCAGGATACACCTGTCATTCCAGCACTCAGGAGACTGAGGTAGAAAAATCTCAAGTTTAGAGCCAGCCTGGGCTACCATTTCTTTTTCATATATCTTATTGGTTGATTTCTTACAGTTTCTAGTTATTTATTTTCTTTTCTTAATATGTGCCAAGTTCATGTGAGAAGTTTGCATCTATGTGTATGCATGTATGTGTGTGTCTTATGCGTGTGTGTATGAACTACAGAATGGCGTTAGGTACATTTCTTAGTCTTATATATGGAAGCAGGTCTCTTGGCGAACCCAGAGCTTGCTGTTTTGTCTCCTGTCTACTGCCATGACATGCTGGGAATAGAAGCTTTTATGTGGATTCTAGGAATCCAAACTTTGGTCCTTGCATCTGCTTGGTAAGCATTTTATCTGCTGAACCATCCCCCCATCCCTAGCCTTGCTTTTGATACTTTACAGATCTGGCTGGGCTGCCTCTGTTACAGCTCTCTCCATTATATTTAATATGGCCTAAAGACACTTCGATCCTTCACCTTGTTTGTTTTGAAATTCCTGTATCTCTCAGTGCAGTTGCTGTGAATCGCCTCTAATGAAGACAAGGGATGGCTTAAGCTCTGTTTCTTGGGCTACCCTTTATTCGCTTTCTTCACTTTGAAATCTTACACATATAAATAGAAAGAGCGTGAATTGAGCGCCTCTGATGTCTGTGCAGCAGCCCATTTCCAACTGGAGAACGGTTTTCAGCTGGAGTATTCTCCAGCTTATCCCACCAGCTTTAACTCTGTTGAGAATTTCAGAGTATGCTGGAGAAGTGGATAGCCCCTCCAACTTCCATTTGTAGTCACTCTGTTCATTGTGTGTTTACACAATTTCCTCCTCTCCTTTTCTGTCTGTCACACATTTCAGGAACTGACTCTGTGATCATTATTTCTGGAGCAGGTCATTACCTACAGTCCACCCTGCTCCATGGCTGTTCTAAACAGTTATTGTACACCTGCCGCATCAATGAAGAGAATAATGTCTTTGAAATTTTCTGTAGGTGTGGCTCTGTCATCACAGCTTAGCACTCTGTTATCCTTAAAGCTTGCTAGAAAAGTTGAGTCAGGAGTTCACTGAGCATCTGCTTGGTAAACTGAACAACACTGTTTTATTTTTAAGATATGTCTGTGTGTATGCATATACCTATGCACAGGGGACCAAAGGAGTTGGAACTGGAGTTCAAGGTAGTTGTGAGCTACCTGACTGGTGCGCTGAGAGTCAAACTCAAGTCCTCCATAAGAGCCATTTCTTACTGAGCCATTTCTCCAGCCCCTAGTCCTTTGTTTTCACATCTTTCAAACACATGCTCTCTCTTGGGAACAAATGTTATCTTTAAAGCCTTTGATCATCTTTAGGAATTTGGGGTCAGTGCCATTTATTCATTCTTTATCTGCTACTTACATTTTGTCAGACTCTTTCACCTGCCCTTATATGTTCCTCAGTAGAAGAATCAACGTGACTCTCAAGCTCTCTGGCATGCTCTTCTTCCCACTGACTCATGGAGTCGTTAGTGCTGCATTGTCTTCCCTGTCTCCTTTCCCCTCCTTCTTTTCTCTTCTCATCCTCTCCCCATGTGTCCCCGTGTCTGTCTGTGTGTCTGTTTGTGTGTACATGCGCTATGGTGTTTATATGAACAGAAAACAATTTGGAGTTGTTTTTCTCTACCATGTAGGATAAAACTCAGGTCAACAGTATTGTCAGCCTTACCTCTGAGCCATCTGGCTGGCTCCAGTGTGGCCTTATCATAGAGGAATTAAAGGTCTCTTGGATGGTGGATGGACTTTGTGACTTAAACCCATATGACATGTTGTAAGGGAATGTTTAGAATAAGCCCCTCAGCCAGGCAGTGGTGGTGCACACCTTTAATCCCAACCCTTGAGAGTAGTAGAAGTAGGTGGAGCTCTGTCAGTTCCAGGACAGCCAGGGCTACACAGTGACCCCTGACTAGAAAACAAACAAACGAAAAGACCCTCTGGGTATCCTGTGATTCAGACTTCAGGGACTGTCTGGACGCAGTGTTCTCAGTAGTCTGCTTTGTCAAGAGTTATCAAGGTCAGAGAGAAGCTTACACACAGTGTAGGGAGAAACCATTGTTTAGATTTTCATGTTTTTATTGTAAATTTAATTTATGACATGGGTATATGTATTTTAAGTTGATCACAGGATCATTTGTGTGCACAAATAGTTCATAAGTGTATTATTTTGTTACATCTATGAGAGTATTGAGGTTATTTCCAGATGTTTTTATTTCCATTGTAAATAGTGAATTCCTCTTAGCTTTATAATTTATAGTTGTTATAAATATTTTAAATTATAAAAGAGCTTTTTAATTTTCTTTATAAAGAACTTGCTTTTAAAAATATAGTTAATAATTGAAGAAATTATTGATTTTCTTTGTCATACATGTTATATATAAACTTTATTTAGTATCATATATAATCTGTTGTCACGTTTCTCTGATTACCTCAAACTTTTTGATTTTATTTTCTTTAGATTTGAATCTGAGGTTCATATATTACTTTTATTCATATTTTATTTTCTATTTTTGTATGTGCATGCGTGTGTGTGTGTGTGTGTGTGTGTGTGTATATATGTGGAGGTCACAGCACAACTTTATGTATTTGATTCTCTCCTTCCACCTTTATGTGAGTTTGGGTTCTAAAGGTTGAACATAGCTTGTTAAGCACTTTTGCCCACTGAGCTGTCTAGCTAACCTTCACATTCTACTTTCAGTTAAAATGCCCCACTTTCTATTTAATGTATAGGCTCTTTTTAATTTTTTCTGGTAGTTTATTTGTTGAAGAATAATTGTATCCCAGTTGTCTTAATGGTAGCTCATGCCTTTAATCCCAACATTCTAGAGGCAGAGGCAGGTGAATCTCTGTGAGTTTGAAGCCAGCCTGGTCTACAGAGCAAGTGCCAGTACAGCAAGAGCTACACAGAAAAGTTGTGTCTCAAAATAAATAAAACAAACAGACAAATAAACTAAGACGGCTCAGTGGATTAGAGCACTTGCTGCTCTTCTAGATAACCCGGGTTCAATTCCCAGCATCCACATGGGAGCTCTCAACTGTTTATAACTCCTATTTCAGGGGATCCAGCATCCTCACACAGACATACATGCAGGCAAACGCCAATGTAAATAAAATACAAATAAATAAATTACTAAAAACAAAACAGGCAACAATAAGTGTCTCTGGCTGTTTTCTATAAACTCAGTTAGAGCCAAAAATTGGCTCAGGTTGGGGCTTAACTTTTGGTAAGAGTGATTTCTTTGTGGTGATTTTGGTATCATATTACATCACATCAGGAAACTGCCTGGTGTTTTTTTGTGATTTTAAGAGTCATGATGGAGTCAGGTGTTTGCCCAGCCATCATTAAGTTGCTCTCAACATCTTCTCACAGATGGTTTGAGTGGCTGTTGATTCACAGGCTGTAAATAGTGTGTCCTGATTTTATTTACCATTTTAGATCTATTAACTAGTTTTT